CATTTCTACTCCTACTACGACTATGTGGGTGCTTTATTAATATCCAACCCTTAACAGAGGAAATCCACAGGTCGCGGGACAGTCTAATATTTCAAGGGTGGTAGATAGGCTGCATGACAATGATGTGGGACCTAGGTTGCATGCAGTCGTGGGACCTAGGTTGCACTCTCTCGTGGGACCTAGGTTGCATGCAGTCGTGGGACCTAGGTTGCACTCTCTCGTGGGACGTAGGTGGGTTGGGGTTAGGGTCAGTTCTAGATTTTTGGGGTCGTTAAAGGCATCAGAAAGCCGAGAAACCCAGTCTTACAACCCTCTAAAATGTTAAGACTGTCATGTGACGTCGTCTGGGGTAGGATAATAATAAAAGCACCGCTGTGTGTTGTATGATGGTAATGAAAAAATGACGCAAACAGCGTGACACTTGCAATAAAACTTCACCGGGTGCAGTCAACAGCACAATATGACACATAAACGTTTGTCCTTTGAGCGCCTGTAGTAACTTCATAAACCACACGTAATTTGCCTGCTTCTCTTTTTGTCTGAATTAATTTAGTATCAAAATGTTTATAAAATGTTTCTAACGAAGAACACAACTGAGAACAATGGTATGCACAGCACCGGTAAATGATTTCCCATAACATCAACGAAGCAAATAGTTTGGCCATCTGGTCAGAATTGAACGAAGTCAGACAGCAGTTGGAGCTTAGTGTACGAAAACTGGAGGCTACGCAGCAAGAGGCCGACCAAGAAAGATATAGGCGGATAGAGCAAAAGAGGCACTGCAGACATGCAATAAAACATTGACACAAACTACGCAACCAGCAACAGATAAAAGAAAGAACAAAAGAAGAAAGAAGTTTTTTGAAATACTCCACGCGACACTCTGCTTTTGTAATGTATTCAAAGACCACAATCATCGATAGATAACTATTCTCCCCATAGAGCCACGACCTTTTCACAGGGGTGCCGCGAAATATTCGAAGATACACGAGTTTTAATTCTGTTTTTCACACACAGGAATAGTCATACTTTTATTTTCGGTTAGGGCGCCGTGAAAAAAGGCGCCGCGAAAAAGGGCGCCGTGAAAAAAGGCGCCGCGAAAAAGGGCGACGTGAAAAAGGGCGACGTGAAAAAAGGCGCCGTGAAAAAGGGCGAGGTGAAAAAAAAGGCGCCGTGAAAAAGGGCCACGTGAAAAAGGCGCCGTAAAAAAAGACGCTGTGAAAAAGGGCGACGTGAAAAAAGGCGCCGCATGTAAGAAATGTTTGGGAAACACTGGTATAAAACATTTTTTCTCCCTGGTATTTGACAATATGCGGCGTCCGTGGCTAAGGCGTTGCGAGTCCGACTCGTGGGCCAGCATACCGCGATCGAAACCCACTGCAGGCTGCGTGGATTTTTGTCGTGGTATGGGACGTCGCAGGTCGACCCAGCCTAAAATGGGTACCAGGATGGGCTGTCCTGGGAAAGTAAAGACAGCCGGCGTAATGCTGACCACATTACCTACCCATAGAGTGCTGATGGTCTGTAAAAATATGGGACGCTCTGCCCATATGCCCGATGCGCCGAAAGGCGTGAAAAGGGATCTTTACTTTACTTTTTTTATTTGACAATATAGATCTTTCGTTCGTTCGTTCGTTCGATACTACTAGAACTACAACTCAACAAGAACTGCTACTACCTCTACTATTGCTGCTGCTACAACTACTACTACTTCTACTTTATCTTCAGCTACTGTTGATATTCATGCTGCTGATACCACCAGCAACACTACAGCTACTACAACTGCCAACTCTACCATAACTACTACTACAAAAACAGCAACAACAGCAAATACTACTATTACCAACACTACTACAACTACTAGTACTACAGTTACTACTAAAAGTAGTATTACTACTAGTACACTGCTACCAGTTATACTATTATTACCAATGATGCGCTAGAACTACAACACGATATCACTACTACCATCATAACTAACAAATATATCATATCTGATGGGGGGAAAAGGAGAAACTATCCAGGATAACGTTGTTTTAATGTTATCTCCCTTTCACAACTGTTCACTGCTATGAAAGATAAAGGGTGTATCAACATAACACTAAATGTCAATAAATACAGCATTAACATTACATGAAATGTCAAAAAAGACGGCATCAACATAACACAATATGTCGGTAAATAGATTATGAATATAACACCACATGTCAAAAAAGACAGCATCAACACAAAACCAAATGTCAACAAAGACAGCATCAACGCAACACCAAATGTCAATAAAGACAGCATCAACACAAAACCAAATGTCAATAAAGACAGCATCAATACAACACCAAATGTCAATAAACACGGTATCAACGTAACACCAAATGTCAATAAAAACAGCATCAACGTAACACCAAATGTCAATAAAGACAGCATAAACATAACACCATATGTCAATAAAGACAGCATCAACATAACACCAATGTCAATAAAGACAGCATTAACATAACACCATATGTCAATAAAGACAGCATCATTGTTAACACCATATGTCAATAAAGACAGCATCAACATAACACCGTATGTCAATAAAGACAGCTACAACATAACACCATATGTCAAAGAAGACAGTATCTACTGCAAATCACAACTGTCTACAACTTTCCCCCAATGACCCCCCAGGAGAGCAGCTGGTGAACCATATCCCCAACAGCAAGCTACTGACCAACAAGTTGGGGCTCCTGTGCAGTCTCCAGGAATACGAGCGGGTGACTTTGCTGACCAAGGGGAGGCTGCCCAAAATGAAGATGGCTGACTTTGTCCCCGAGACGTATAAACTGGACGAGCGGGTGGACAGGGAGAAGTTTCTAGCCGAGTACAAAGGTAAGAACGCTCACAGAGACAGGACAGGGTTGTCTGTTTGCACCACTAAAAGTTCAAGTAGAGGGCAAGGATCCTTTTCCGCACCTTCGGGCGGACTGGGCATATAGGGCCAGACTTATAGAATATAGACCGAGCATATGGGTAATGAGGTCATCATCATGCCGGTCGTCTTTACTTCCCATGACTGTAGCTGGTTCTCATTTAATGCTATTTGTACCCGGCAGGTGTTAATTTCTTGTCACCTGCGTGCCAACAAAGACCAAAGTCAAGAGGATCGTCTTCACAACAATTTTTTTTGGGTTCCATATGGCTCTATCTCTCTACAAAACAAACAGCCGCCTGGCCAGAGTGTCACAAAAAGCACTTACACCTTAAACACAAAGCACGAACACATTAACTCCAGGGACGATCCTAAGGATCACCGTAAACATTGCACTCGTGAAATGAATCCATGACCTTTAAACCACGACGCAAAAGGCATGATCATTTAGTCATGGAGACCAAATCAGTGACCGGAAATGGGACTAAAAGTAACCATCTGCGCGGCCACCAGGGGGACAAATTCATTGTGGTCCGAGTTTACGCTCAGGGGTAGACAAAACAGCCACATATTTCCCAGATTAACAGCATCTATCTCGGAATACAGCAGGGAGATAAAAATTAGAATTTTGAGAGCATGCATCTTCCCTGTGGCTACATACGGATGTGAGTCGTGGACTTTCTCTCAGTCCTTAAGAAACAGAATAGGGGCTTTAGAGCTGAAATGCTTTAGAAAGATTATCAGAATATCTTGGACAAAGAGTAGGAGACATATTGACATCTTAAAAGATCTGAACATGAAGGAAGATTGGCTAATAAACAGCATAATTTGGTCATATCAAGCGCCACAACGGATTGGAAAAAAACTATAGAAGAAGGCATGGTACCATGAAGGAGGGGCAGGGGCCGACCGACACGAAGATGGGCACAGGATATACGTGACTCCCTGAGTATTAAAGTACATGAAGCAGGAGAACTGGCGAGAGACCGAGTTTCTTTCAGGCAGACTGTGATGAGAGCGACGTTCTGCAAAGGACCTGCTACATGATGATCTCGAAATCAAGGCCGGAGGGTTGCGATATCCATAGTACCAAGCCAAAGGGTATACTACTCATGGTTTCTCGACTCCCCCCCCCCCCTTCCCAATGGGGTAAGACGCGTGTATGGGTTTGGAAGGGGGGGGGGTGAGGTAGATTTCGTTTGTCCTTTAAAACACACGACGGAGATATTAAATTATATGCTACACTGAATGTCTAAATATGACACTGAAATTCAAGCCCTACAAATTAGAGTGGATAAGTCAGTTACGATGGTTTGAACGTGTATGCAGAATGGGAGAAAATCGTCCGCCATGGCAGGCATGGGAGGCCAAGAACCAGGGATTCAGATCTTCAGGGCGGCCCATGGTTCGCTGGGAAGACAACATCTGACAGTGCCGGACCAAAACAGGACTCGAATGGAACAAAGTTAAAAAGAAAACTGCTGATCTCTCTGTATAACCTTTACACCCCCAGGGTAGAAGAGGAAAGACTAATTAGGTAAGTGTATCTAAATAACAATAGATTATTATTTTTTATTCACAATAATGCTTTAAATAACCTTATATTTTCAAACTTGAATCAATTGACATTTTTGTACATGAACAAGACATTTTCCATGAAAATAAGATGAAGATCAAAAACTAATATAAGACGCTGTCTGACTTTCGGGGGATCACAGTAGTTGCCCAGAATTTACAACCATATGTTAAAACGGTCGGCTCTGTGGCTAAGTCGATGCGAACGTTTCGTAATGCCGGGATGCCGGGTTTGATCCCAGCTGCGGGCCATGCGCTTTGCGTTGGTTCGACAGTGGTATCAAGAAAGCCGGCCGTTTGGGGGCCATGGCAAACTACTGGACGTAAATTTGCCTAGAAAAACCACACAACAGCCAGTGGCTGTTGGGGTTGGTTCTGCAAAGTCCTGTAAAGGATACGCAACTAACCCCCATGTTAAAACGGGCTCTAAGCAACGTGTAATATATTTTAATAACTCTCGGTGACAGGAATTTACTGTTTACTTCTTTTTCAGCATTCCAAACCTTTAAGATACATTGCTGCCAACATCATATTCGTCAGTTCATCTCTCTGATTGGCGTTCTCTTTGCAATTGGTGACACCAAGTGTGTGTGTAGATCTGGCTGGATATTATTTCTACATCGTCTTCTTATCTCCCTTCTACTATTTACTGTAAACAAAGTTCTTCATTTGGCAGACTGCAGCTGCTGAGTTACCTATTTTGTTTGAGATGTATCAAAGACACAGGCTCGAGCACCTGGACGATCAGAGCTTTGTGAAAAAGTGACAACTGAAAGTGTGACAGACTGGTGACCGGAAGTGAAATCGATTGGTACCGGAAGTGTGAAAGATTTGTCACTGGAGGGTGACAGATGTAGGCAGGAAGTACGAAAGATTAGTGAACGGAAGTGTGCAAGATGTTTGACTGGATGCTTGAACAATTGGTGGCTGGAGGTGTGAAAGATCATAGACCAAAAGTATAACAGTTTGGTAACAAGAAGTATGAAAGATTGGTGGCCGGAAGTGTAAAAGATCACAGCCCACAAGTATAACAGTTTGGTAACAAGAAGTATAAAAGATTTGTGGCTGGAAGTGTGAAAGATCAATAAGATCAATCATCAGCAATATCAAGGCCGGTGGCAAGAAGTGCGTAAATTTAGTGCCAAGAAAGGCTAGGTGTCTGTCGTGTGAGTACACCTGACAGTTGACCTTAGGGAAACATGAAAGTCGAAACGTTTAGACTTTGGTTTCATCTGGCCTACGATGTCTGCCACACTATGTTTGTTGTCTTGGCTCCACAGATGGAGAGACGTGGATCTGCAAGCCGGTAGGAATGAATCAAGGGAAAGGCATCTTCTTGCTGCGGTCAAGGGATGAGATTAACCAAGTTATTAATGAAAGAGATGCCAAATTAACCAGCTTGGCCGCCACTCCGAAGGTTCCGATGATGAGAATTGTTCAAAGGTAGCCATGACATTAAATGTATAATATTTAACGCATAAGTTAAATGCAAGTGCGTATTTACCGACGTTCGCGCTGTTTAAAAAAAAAAGGTTTGACGAGGAGGGAAGGTATCGGTTATTAATGCACGATAAAACTGTTATGGAGACCCCTGTGAATAGTCGCCGGAGCTAGGGTGTTCGTACTTTGTGCGACGGTCTCCTCGGGGGTAGGTTAGAGACCGAGCCATATGGGATGAACGCCAGTGCAATGAAGTCGATCCCATCAACTTTTAACCTTTATTGCAGAAACATTATTAACATCAATAAGGTGCTATAAAACTTGATTATGAAGTAGGTCTATACCTAGTGGGGTGTCTTACAGCTATGTTTAATGTCTCTAGATCTCTTCCCCTTAAATAATCGGGGAGTGGGACGATGTAACATCAAGAATATAAGATATACAGATATTACGATGTTGACTGCAGACAGTGAAAGGGGAGCTGCAGTGTTTAGTTGATGCAGTAGTAATAGTTCATAGCGAGAAACTAGGCCTACAGCAACAAAACAGAAAGAAAACAGATTTTTATGGTCATCACTAAAAAGGAAAAAAAAAAAATACTCCGATGTGAAATCCCTGCAAATGATAAATGTTTAAGCTAGTGAATAGACATAACTATCTTGGAAAAGTCATATATCTGTATTATGATGTCTTGTGCGAATCAGAACAAGAATCGTCATGACAAACACAGCCATTGGCAATTTGCAACATAAACTCGCCAATAATAAGATGCAAACTGCAGTACGAGAGAGAAAAAAAAAATGCTAAATTGCTATGCAGAATCTGTGTTATTGTTTCGTTGTAAAAATGAGACATAGCCGATGAACGATCCACAAGTGTGGGTCCTGAAAACAAACCCCACATAACGAAAGGAATCCCCGGAACATGTCGTGATTGAAGACCCCGTGCCTTCAAGTAGAGCCATCAAAGTTGTATGTTGCCAAGTAATACGGTTCCTATTTGTAGATTCACCGACAAACCTGCCCCAGGTCCTGGCTATATCGGCTGCCAGTCAGGTGTCGGACTCGTTTCAATAATTCACTAAACTAACGGCCGCGTCCAACGGAAGATGTGACACGCAGATATAGATAAAGAATCGAAATTTTCAACAGCTCTTTGACTAAAAATAGCGTTAAAACTACTGGTGTTGACTGGCAGTGGCGCTGCCACACAGAAACCCGGGGAGGGGGGGACTATTGCTACTATTGCGCCTAAAACTGTCGGAAAACATATATTCCCTGAAATTATGCGGTAGCAACGAAAATAAAAGTATGGTTGGGGGGTCACCACAATATGTGAAACTGTTTTAAAGGGTCGCCGCATTAAAAAGGTCAAAATCCACTCGCGTAGTGGGTTTGACCCGTGTTTAAGCGCTCAGTAATCGTAAAAAGTATTTTACTACCAGATCCCTTGCTAATTTTCCGGAGCAGGGAGCTCAGCCCCTCCCCCTTCCCATTTTTTGGGGGTGGGGGCAGCTATGGTTCCTGAGCTTCCAGATTCCTGCGCCCATGCTGATCGACAATCCTAGACCAGCTGACCAGAGTTGACACACTAAATTGTTTTTTTTTTTTTCTCATATCCTCCACCTCCTCTTGTTCTTCGCCTTCTTTCTTGATTTTTTATTTTTCTTTGTCGTCTTCTTCTCCTCCTCCTCTCATTTCTCTTCTTCTTCTTATTTGGTACTTCCCTATTAGGTCACGGGACATATTTCAGGGGGTGGTAAATTAATCGTATACTTTAGGTTGCGTCAGGGTTAGGGTAAGAGTTAGGGTTAGGTTAACGAGCGAAAACCTTGGCCTTGGAAGAAACGCGCTAAAGCACAGGAAACAGGGAAAAAACCGCTCTTATAACCCTCTAAAATATTGGACTGTCCCGTGACGTTATTTGTAGTCGGCTAGAAAAAAAATCACCTATTATAATTATTCTCCTCTTCTCCCTACTCCTCTCCAGTCTTCTTCTCTTCTCCTTCTGTTTAATCGTCATCGTCACCATTATCCATTCACCTCCAAATAAGGTTTCAGCAACCCACGCAGACCACTACAATGCCAGGTGCCAGTTCACGCTAACGACCAATTCTGTACTCTTGGTCCAGGTACCTCGGCGACCCGTTGCTGTTGGAAGGGAGAAAATTCGACATACGATCCTATCTGCTTATCGCCAGCACGGTTCCTTTCTTGGTGGTCTACCACAAGGGCTATGTGAGGCTGTCCTGTCAGAAATACCACCAGAGCGACACCAACCTCACCACACACCTTACTAACCAGGTAGGTATCTCATCTCACAGGTGACAAGCCAAGGGAATATTTTACTACACTTCTCAACTTATCTCGTTAAGAACGGCAAGGCACGGCTCACCACATTTCTAACTACACATCCCACCGATACTGTCCCCACACATCTCTAACTACACATCCCACCACATATTGTCCCCACACATCTCTAACTACACATCCCACCACATAATGTCCCCACACATCTCTAACTATACATCCCACCACATACTGTCCCCACACATCTCTAACTACACATCCCACCGCATAATGTCCCCACACATCTCTAACTACACATCCCACCACATACTGTCCCCACACATCTCTAACTACACATCCCACCACATAATGTCCCCACACATCTCTACACATCCCACTACATACTGTCCCCACACATTTCTAACTACACATCCCACTACATACTGTCCCCACACATCTCTAACTACACATCCCACCACATACTGTCCCCACACATCTCTAACTACACATCCCACCACATATTGTCACCACACATCTCTAACTACACATCCCACCACATACTTTCCCCACACATCTCTAACTACACATCCCACCACATACTGTCCCCACACATCTCTAACTACACATCCCACTACATACTTTCCCCACACATCTCTAACTACACATCCCACCACATATTGTCACCACACATCTCTAACTACACATCCCACCACATACTTTCCCCACACATCTCTAACTACACATCCCACTACATACTTTCCCCACACATCTCTAACTACACATCCCACTACATACTTTCCCCACACATCTCTACACATCCCACTACATACTTTCCCCACACATCTCTACACATCCCACTACATACTTTCCCCACACATCTCTAACTACACATCCCACCACATACTGTCCCCACACATCTCTAACTACACATCCCACCACATACTTTCCCCACACATCTCTAACTACACATCCCACCACATACTGTCCCCACACATCTCTAACTACACATCCCACTACATACTGTCCCCACACATCTCTAACTACACATCCCACCACATACTGCCCCCCCCCCTCCCCACATCTCTTCACATAGGTGCTGTCTCGTCTTTATGATAAAGGTTGGCTAAAGTGAACACATGCTGTCATTGGGAATATTACGTGCTGAAGCCTCTATCTCTTCCACGGTGCGACTCACCTACTATTGTCGGGATACCGCGAGAGTAGGTTGTTTTAAATCCACAGTCCATCGCCCGAAATTGAATCCTAGTGCTCGAGGATCATAACATTGTTAAACGCATTCACCAACATCTAAACCACGTTCATCAAACATATGGAGGAGACGTTAGAATCCCAATGTGCATTTGGCTTGAAATGTGTTTTTTGAAATTTTAATGTTTTATCTTCAGAACTAATTGGATAAATTCAAATATCTGAAAGAGAGACGGTTTGTGGAAAATTTTACGACATTATAGAATTCCAGAAAAAAATAGTCAACATAATTGCTCTCTTCTATAAAGACTTCCTGCAGTATAAAAAATTACAATACATCTTTCCCAGTAAAGACGGGTGTAAGACAGGGATGTATTATGTCATCTCTCCTCTTCAACCTTGTGATTGATTGGATACTAAAGAACAAAGTAGACAGGACATTAAGAGGCATACGATGGACTCCATTCACCATGCTTGAGGACCTTGGTTTTGCAGATGATATAGCACTCCTATCACATAAACATGAACATATACAAGAGAAAAGTAACAGACTAGACTGCACAGCAGATATGGTGGGACTGAGAATAAATACAAAGAAAACTAAGATCATGACAAGCAGTCCAAACCAACAACCAGTAACCAATCACTTGAAAATGTAGAACAATTTCACCTATCTTGGCAGTGTGGTGTCCCTACTGGGAGGGACAGAGTAAGACATACAGTCACGTCTGAAAAAAGCTAGAGCTGCTTTTGGAAGGATGAGGCAAATCTGGAAATCCAACAATTACTGCAGAGGAACGAAACTCCGACTCTACAAGAGCATCATTTTGCCAGTTCTTCTTTATGGAGCGGAATGCTGGAGAATGACCAAAAAGGATGAACACAAGCTGTCCACCTTCCACCATACATGTCTACGAAGAATTATCTAAATTTTCTGGCCAGATACAATCTCAAACACTAAACTACTTCAAACCACAAACCAAGAAACTTTAGACAGTATGATTACCAAGAGAAGATGGAAATGGCTTGGCCACGTTGTGAGAATGACTTCTGAAATACCTGCCAAAACAGCTCTCACATGGACACCAGAGGGAAAGAGAAAACAGGGACGCCCAAAAACAACATGGAGACGAAAGATGGAAAGTGACCTGAGTGTGGCATCTTTGACATGGAAAACTGCACTGAAGATTGCACAGGACAGGAAAGCATGGACAGTCCTCTCTGAAGCCTCATGTGTCACCAGACATAACCAGAACTGTTATAAATATCTGAAAACAGTCATAACATCAGACGGAAGAAGTGTGTCAGAAATTAAGAGCAGAATAGGCCTGGCTAAGGCCGCATTTCACAGAATGAAAAACATTTTCTGCAACAGGTCCCTCTCTTTGGTTGTCCGAAAGAGAGTACTGAAATGCTATGTAGAACCTATATTGCTGTATGGTAGTGAATCATAGCATATGAATGCACAAATTAGAAATACCACGGAGGCGACGGAGATGTGGTTTATCAGACAGCTTGATTTAAGGAGTCTAATGAAAGCAGATCAATGTATACAGCTATAAGGAAAATACAAGCACTGTTCTTTGGTCATGAGATGAGAGGGAAGGTTATGGAGAATATTATGACGATTGGGAAGATCATCTGTAGAAGAGGGAGAGGCGGACCAAGAGAAATGATGACGGATGGACTGCATGGGTGGCATGGAGGGATATCATTGGTGGAAATGATCCAAAGGACAAGGGACAGAGATATGTAGAGATGCATGGACGCCTTCGCAAGTCGGCAGGGCACGTGATGATGATGACAATCTTTAGTAGTATAAGGGTTTAAAAGTAACATACCCTTTTCCACGCCTTTAGAAGTATTAGGCATATTGGGCTAGACCTGTATTTTATAGACCAGTCGGTACTTGGTGGGTGAGGTGGAAAGCATTATGCCGGCCGCATCTTCAGAAGTACAATAAATAAATCAGCTTTTTGGGAGATCAATACTAGGCACATGAGATAGAGGTAGATGATGTATATGACTATGATAACGATGGTGATGATGATGATACTTTTTAAGTGGCGAATTTTAAAAAAATATTTTATGTGAAATAAAATAAAATTCATAAATAATTACTTATCTGCACCTTTCAGGCTAATATACCTGATTTCTTCTTCTTCTAAAAGTCCATGCCGTGTGGCGTTGGTAGTCATGTAAATCCACAACCTTCTGTCCCGTGTACTTTCAATCAGCTCTGACACAGATTATTCTCCATGCCATGATGTCAAACTGTCCAACATCTTTTCTTTTAGTCTCCCTCTGCCTCTGCTCTCCTCCAGCGTTCCTACTGTCACGACGTAATCCAGTTTTCTCCTTCTCATCTCACGACCAAAGAATGTAGATTGTTTCTTTCTGATCTTTTGATATCTTTCTGCACTCTTTTAATCAGTCCCGGGTAATCTCATCATCTGATTCTGATTTCTGCTAATTAATTCTAATTAATTGGCTATTACGACTTTAATCGCGTTGCCGGTCGGAATGTTGAGAAGACAACGGATTATCCCTAATGTTGCTGATGTTGAGTTTCCAACAGCTGGGAGAGCTGTTTCTCGTGAGAAGAGTGCAAACTGACTTTCTGTCTGACCGTTTTTGTCTAGGTATGGCTAGACACACTACAAATGACCCCAGCTTTCGAGGGGATTGGGGTGGGTGGGTGTATCTCTGCCAAACAGATTTATGTATGGTATAGATTGTGAAGCTCAAAAGATTGGATATTTTGGTTAGTTGCTTGAGTGTATGGTTGGATGATTGTGTGGTTGCTTGACTGTTTGGCTGCATGATTGTGTGGTTACATGATTGTGTGGTTGTATGATTGTGCGGCTGCATGAATGTGTAGGTGCATGTAAGATACATGATTTGTTTTGGTACTTACATGTTAGCATGTAAAATGAATAACTGCACCGAATCCAAGAACACACATGTTTCACAAAAGTACACACTTGAAAACAATTAAAATATAATACATCCAAATTAGAAATAAAGTAATTCTCACTGTGTCAAAATCACACGGTAACAAGATGTTTCAGTCACCAAACATTCAGCTTGCACTGAAACCGAAGACAGCTCACAACATGTTGACTTCCGTTCCGTGAAGAACTGGGGGGGGGGGGGGGGGGGGGGTGGCCAGATTGGACACTCCAAACCAAAACCCTTGATTGGTACTTCAATATCTTCTCGTTTTGCGTTGAGAAAAAGTTGCTATTTCTTTAAACTGGTAAAGTTCAAGCTTTATAAATGGAAATTTCTTCTTCTTCGTCTTTTTCTTCATTTTCTTCTTCCTCCTCCTCTGCGTCTACTACTACTACTACTACTATTACCACCACCACCACTACTACTACTACTACTACTACTACTACTACTACTACTACTATTACTACTACTGCTGTTACTAGTACTGCTACTGCTGCTGCTGCTACTGCTACTCTATTACTAGCACTACCATGACTACTCCTATTATTATTACTACTACTACTTCATCGTCAACTACTACTACGACCACCACTGCTACGATTGCTACTTCGTCTTTTGTGTCGTATGCTTCTCATACTACTAATGACCCTATCACTGCTACTAAAATTACTACTTTGCTACTGCTGTTCTACTACTTACTACTATAACTTTTCTTCTGTGTTTCCAAGTACCATCAATACAAATGCATGTAGATTTTTTTTCAATGTTTCGGTGACCCCAAGCAACATTCTACATTCGATATTTCTGTGCCCTTTGTATGTTCAGTATATACAAAAGAAGGATCCCTCTTACGAAGAAACGAAAGAAGACACCGTGTGGACAATGGACAGGCTCAATCAGTACGTCAATGAACAGGTTGCGCCAGAGAAAGGACTAGAAGCTGACTGGGTCTACACAACCCTGACGGTAAGCTGGCTTTCACCATTTGTTCTGTTACCCACATCTACATCTGTCATATTGCGTCATCACCATCATCACCGTGTGCCCTGTCGATAAGCGCAGGGGGGTCTCGACATTTCAAACGATCACCAGAGTCACGTATCAGGTCAGTGCTCTTGTCTCGTCCCATCCATATGACCAACTCATCCCGGCATTTATATCTTTGCTTTCTCCTTTCTGTTTTTATATTAGTCTTGTAAATTCTTCTTAGCGTTCACTGTCCTCTTCTGAACTTTAGTCTTGCTCCGGAAATTGATGTTTGCGTGCACGTCCATTTTACTGGTCTGAATTCGTGTTTGTGTGCGTGTATGCTAGCTTATCTACTCTCAAGCAGATACTTTCTGACTCCCTAGGAAGCAGCTCTAATATGTCCTCTTTTGCAACATGCTTGTTGGCAAGGGTGGGGGGGGGGGGGGGTATATTCTTTTTCTCCCTTAAATGGGACCCTGGAACCCAACACGGAGAGATATTTCCAGTTGTGACCAAGTTTTCTTTTTTCTTTTTCTTTGATTATTGTGTCAGAAAACCGTATACCGGGAAGCCAGTAAGGTTAGTTGCGTATCCTTTACAGGACGTTGCAGAACCAACCCCAACAGCCCCTGGCTGTTGTGTGTTTTTTCCAGGCAAGTTTACGTTCAGAAGTTTGCCATTGCCTCTGGACGGTCGGCTTTCTTGATAACACTGTCGAAACCAACGCAAGGCGCATGGCCCGCAGCTGGTATCGAACACGGCATCCCGGCATTACGAAGCGTTCTCATCGACTTAGCCACAAAGCCATTAGCCATTGATAAAAAGAAACGTTTGTTGGCTGAGTCTATTGTCCGTATCAACACATTCTTCTCATCAACCCATTCTTCTCATCAACCCATTTTTCTCATCAACCCATTCTTCTCATCAGTCCATTCTTCTCATCAACCCATTTTTCTCATCAACCCATTCTTCTCATCAACCCATTTTTTCTCATCAACCCATTCTTCTCCTAGACCCATTCTTCTCATAACCCATTCTTCTCATCAACCCCTTCTTCTCATCAACCCCTTCTTCTCATCAACCGATTCTTCTCATAAACTCATTCTTCTCATCAACCCATTCTTCTCATCAACCCATTCTTTTCAAAAACCCATTCTTCTTATAAATCGATTCTTCTCATCAACCCATTCTTCTCATCAACCCATTCTTCTCATCAACCCATTATTCTCATCAACCCATTATTCTCATCAACCCATTATTTTCATCGATCCATTCTTTTCATCAACTCATTCTTCTCATAAACCCATTCTTCTCATAAACCCATTCTTCTCATCAACCGATTCTTCTCATCAACCCATTCTTCTCATCAACCCATTCTTGTCATCAACCCATTCTTCTCATCAATCCATTCTTCCCATCAACTCATTCTTCTCAGCAACCCATTCTTCTCATCAACTCATTCTTTTCATCAGTCCATTCTTCTCATCAACCCATTTTTCTCATCAACCCATTCTTCTCATCAACCCATTTTTTCTCATCAACCCATTCTTCTCCTAAACCCATTCTTCTCATAAACCCATTCTTCTCCTAAACCCATTCTTCTCATAAACCCATTCTTCTCATAAACCCATTCTCCACATTAACCTATTCTTCTCATCAACCTATTCTTCTCATAGACCTGCTATCCCTGACAAAGTCCTTGACCATTCCTTCTACTAACATGTCATATGCAAAATCAACAAAAATATACTGACTGCCTACGCCTCGGCAACACATGTTAGAACGTCACTAAATAGTTCATCTGTGCACAGTGACATTTTGTTTTTTCTGTCTTCTTCTGCCTTTCTAGTCCCTAAAAGAGCATAGACCCTAAACCAACTTACACCAAGTTGTTCTATCTTTTACTATGGCACTCAGCTCTCCCCATTTCCTCCCCATCTTTTTAACTTCATTCTCCAGGGTCCTTTTCCATGTGTTTTTGGTCTTCCTTTATTCCTATGCCCTTCTGGTTTCCAGTGCAAAGACATTCTAGTTATATTGTTCTTCTGTTTTCTTAGTGTCTGTCCTATCCAAGCGACTTTTTGGACACCCTATATTTCTTTTTCGTGGGTTTGTGAGGTAACTAGTATGGGCATTCTCGTTAGATAATCAAACTGTTCCACCTGAAACCCTTTAATAAAGTGTATAATTGGTTTTAGTCCTATTTTTTTTTTTTTTCTAATTCTAATCTTCTTCTTCTCCTCCTGTAAACTCTGGCAAAAAGTTTTAGTTGTTTATCCACTTTTGGACAGCAGTCCTGTTCCAGAACCTAAGTGTTGCGTGTACATCCGTTTTACAGATCTGACTCATTTGTATGCAGACTGCTGGCTCCTTGCCTCTTAGGCAGATGCACTGCGACTTCGAAGGAAGCTCCCAGTTAGTTGACTCTTACAACATGCTTTTGGGTGGCATAGGGTCTAGCTTCCCCCCCCCCCCCATCCTTTAAAGGGCCCCGGAACCCACACAGTTATTACAGAGAATATGGAGATTATAATTTTTAAATTATTGACACAGGAAATTGACAAAGGAAGGGCATTTTTTCGACCATATTAAAAGCCATAACACTATTTTTAATTCCATACTAGAAGGAAACAACCGAGGGCACGCGATCAAGAGGGTAACAGCGGCAAAAGGGGGAGGATATGATCGTGAGATGGACAAATGGAAGTTTTAGAGAGTATATATAACGTATTGGTGATCCAATGCAGCATTGCGGAGATGACACCTGACTAAGTGATTCTCCTCTTCCTCAGAAACAAATGCAGAAAATTGCCTTACACTGTTTCCATAGCGTCCGACACAAACTGCACTGCAAGATGGGATATTTTGACCTGTATGGCATGGATTTCATGGTGGACGCAAACATGAAGGTCAGTTCACACATATTCACGCACAGCACATAAATTTCAGTAAAAACACAGACAATGAAAGTGAGCAGCACACACGCAAGTCAATAAACACACACTCATGAAGATCCGTACACATACATGAAGGCCAGCACACACACACACACACGCACACATACACACACATATGAAGGTCAGTGCTTGCAATAAGGTCAGCAAACACACATGGAGGTTAGCACATACATAAAGGTCAGTGCACACACAAACCTATAAGATCATTACGCACGTGACAGTCACTACATATAACGCAAACACACACGAAGGTCGTTACATACAATATGGTCAGTACACACGCACATGAAATTATACACACACACACACATACACAAGCACACACACAACATATGAAGGTCACTATACAAATAACGGTCACTACACTTGAAGGTCAGCAAAACACACACACACATGAAGGTCACTATACACATTATGAAGATCACAAAGCTCAGTACAAACGTACATGGAGGGCCATATAATGTTAAAACGCAATTGAAGTAGGAGTCTCTACACTACTGCTCAGGCTTTGTGTTGTGCGCAGGCGGGGCCTCATTCCCTGGCCCTAACGGGTTATCATTATGAACAGGAGTGAGTGAGATTCAACCCCACCAAGACATCATACAAGCGATAAACACCCGGTGCCACAAAGTGCCACCATGTGGATGAGGATCATCCGGGGAGAGGTCCCAGAAACCCCGTTAAACCGTTGGGTTATATTAGGCCCCCCGACTACAGCCCGGGTAGAACTTTAACATTACGAAAAATTGCGTCCCATATTGAGACGACAGATTAGCAATATGGGTAGGAGTTCTATGCCCCCATTATACAGGGTGACCATATCGTCTGGACACTTATCTTTTTTATTTTTATTTTAGTATGCCCAGACGGTATTCAACAAAATCGAAACATGCAATTGTTCCAATGGACAATGAGTATCGAGGGGACGGACCGTCCCGACGATAAGGGGACATGGTCACCCTACCCATATAGGGCAATAGAACGCCATTTTCTGAAAGGACTGAGTGACGCCAACAACGAGTTTCGTATAGGACACCTCTGTTTAGCTGCCTCGATTCTAGCCCACTTAGTATGCCTAGTGACTCCACTGTGGGGAAAACAAGAAAAGACCCACTGCCTACTCAAAAAGCATGTCGTAAGATTTGGGGCTTCCTGTGGAGCCCATCTGCCTGTTAGATAAGGAACCAACGGTATGGATA